AAGCTTTCAATTCACTAAGTGCTTACACACGAGGTATATGTACTTCCAGATACAAGCTACAAAAAAAGCCAATTATTCTTATTTGCAGAACTACCTAGGAATCAGAAGCCACTGAACGTGAATGATGGACACTGAAGCCTGAGGTCAGTGAAAAAGCTTTTCACTGCATGTAGCTTAGGTTTGGACTGATCAAACAGACACAAATCACTAGATATGATCAAAATGGAAGGACAGAAAATAAACTGGTAGCAAATGAACCAAAGAAACCTCACCAATGAAAAACAAACACAAACATACACTTGTGTACATCTTTTCTTTCTTGAGACAGGGTCTCTCTGTGGCCCTGACTGGTTTGCAACACTTCCTAGACCTGGCTGGCCTCAAACTCACAGAAGCTTGCCTCTGCCTCTCGAGTACTGGCCTGAGCCAATGTAAGTGGCATGCTTCCGTACCTTTATCAGTTGAATACAGGGTTAAAAAAGAAGTAGAAACATTGCATTTACTCACTTTGACAGAGACACTCCCCCAGCTTTCCCGATCATTTCTTCATGGTGCAAAACTGAACGGTTCCACGGAATATGGAGAAACTTTAAGAGCATTCTCATCCACCGCTCAGGGTGTAAGACAAGCTGTTCGTAGTGAACCAACATGCACTTTTTATAACCAACTTCCATACACTGGTTGTACATGGTTTCTATGGCCCGATTCCACTTGGTCAAACAGTCCCTGTAGCTGTTCAGGTCAAATCCAGCTATGGTAACTCTTCGAGAAATCATTGAATGCACTGATGCCCGGCCATCTCGGACCATCAGGAGAAATTTGGCATTGGGAAATAACCTAGCAAGGTAAGTCAAGGATTTCAGGGCAAAAGGATCTTTGTTACATAAATAAGGTGCTGGCTCCCCATGTTTAACAATGACCTCCAGAAGGAAGGCTTGCATGGCAGAATCCAGCACTTCATCAGTGACACCAGCCTCATCCAGGCGGATCTTCTCTTTAATGGACCGGGACCACATCTGCTTCAGGGCAAGGATTCGAGGGATGACCCTGGTTTCCTCTCCACAGCGGATGTCAGGATGTGCATCCAGCATAGCCCTCATGAGCGTGGTTCCACTCCGAGGCACACCTCCGATAAATATTAAAGGCATATCTTTGTGATAGGTGAGTGTTTTGTTGGATTTGATATCCAGGCCAGTTCCCACAGTTGTCTTGGGGTTCTCCAGTCTAGCTGGCTGGCTACGTTCCTCTATTCGGTGATGACACTCCATGGCATGCTGGCCAAGGTAAAACACTGTCACAGAACTAATCACCAGACACGCCAAAAGTAAGTTCTGCTTCAGCTTTCCCACCATCTTGATGTGGTTATCTTCTTATTAAACATATAATTTGCTCAAAATGATTGTCAAGAAATGTTTAAGCCATGGAGATTGTACTTCAGAAAGATGGTCAGCATCTGGTAAGAAAAAAACAAAGATTATCATCACATTATGATGTTTACAAACCAGTCATCAATCATTTTAGACAGAAAGCAGCAGAAACAATCTGGATGCTTTACTATCCTAAGAACATAAGATCCACACATGTGGGCACAAACGAGGCGGTGAAGCACTGTGGGGCAGGCCTACAACCTGGCTACTCAGGAGGATGAGGTAAGCAGACTGCGTTAAGGCCAGCCTACAGTACAGAGTACATACCAGGCCAGTGTGGGCAACTTCACAAGATCTTGTCTCAAAAGAAAAGGATGCTGGGAATACAGCTTAATGGCAGAGTGCTTGCCTAGCATGAAGACCCAGGTCCAACCTCTAGAAGAGAGCCCCACCCCCTCCAACAAACAAATACTTATAATCAGAAACAGCTTTTTTTGATTTCACAGGTCTGAAGCTGTGCACCTGGCTCACAATAGAAAAACCAAAACTATTTTTAGCAGCAAATTTAGCAAATATTTAATTCATTCTAACATGTATTAAATGTTAGGAATCCAATCTAATATTGATCACTTGTATTCAAATTGCTTCACACACACACACACACACACACACACACACACAAATACCACTATCACTAGCTCCACATTCTATTATAAAGACAAATTACCTAACTAGGAGTCCAGAGTGCCTAACTGTCCTAGGGATTTCAATTTGTAGTCTCATAATCACTAAGCCAGTTCCTTAAAATCAATCTTTTCGCGGTTCCATCCTCCCAACCCCTGGTGTGTGTGTGTGTGTGTGTGTGTGTGTGTGTGTGTGTGTGTGTGTGTGTGTGTGTGTGCGCTCCTAAACATACCCTACTGGCTCTATTTCCCAGCAGGATGCTAATTAAAACAGAGAAATGATTGGATATACTAGAGAAAAAAATTTATTCTAAGGGGCTGGGGAGATGGCTCAACACTTGCTGCTCTTTCAGAGGACCTGGGTCCAATTCCCAGCACCCACATGGTAGCTAATATTCATTGTACCTTCATTTTCAGGGGGTCTGATGCCCTCTCCTCCAGCTTCCATAAGTGCCAGGCACACATGTGATACATATACACACACATAGACAAAACAACCACACATATAAAATAAAAACATAAAGAAGTCTTAGGAGGAGGAGGAGGAGGAGGAGGAGGAGGAGGAGGAGGAGGAGATATTCTGAGAGTCAAGACTTCCAGCTCTGGCCCAGTGACAATGCAGTCAATTCCCCACCCCAACCAATTATAAAGCTTGATTGACAATTGGGCCTTTCAGTGCTCTGGAAATCAAAGGAATGAACAACTTAAGAACATTTACAACTAAACACTGTACAAGATGGTCAGAACAAGCGAGAGTCTGTAACTCCACCATCTCCCAACTCAGGAGGTACCAAGGGCAGCAGGGCAGCGTAAACAGTTAGCACTGGCAGCTTTTGCTCGAAAGTGGATGGGAGCTTGCTAATTTGAGGTGGTGAACAAGACACATGCCCATGTGCACTGTCAAGGTGAACAAGAAGGTGAGCAACTCTAGCAGGCTGAGGCTGCAGGACTAGCTGGGCAACTCAGGCACCAAAGAGTCGGGAAAGGAGAAGTTTGGATGGCTCAGATTTATAATCCCAATACTCAGAAATTGGAGGCAGGTAGAATGCTGGGAGTTTGGTGCTAGCCTGAGCTATATACTGACCTATATACAGGTCAGGCTGGACTAGTGTGATACCTTGTCTGAATAATTAAGAAGGAGAAGGGAAAGGGGAAAAGGGGGAATGGGGAAGGGAAAGGAAGGGAATGCAAAGGAAACAAGCAGATGTCCAAACAGCCTGAACTTGACAGCTCCCCTGCTCCAGCTCAGATCTCCTGGTGGAAAAGCTCAAAGGCTCAGTTGTCTAATCCAAGCACTATTCAAGCACCAGCTGACTTCTGGGCACTGAGCTAGGCAGACAGAGGCAACTCCTAGAAACCATGCTGGAAAAACAATTACAAGAGCACAGATACTTTACACAAATAGGGGTGGGGTATGTCTAAGCCGTTCATAATAGTGTGTGTATGTGTGTGTGTGTGTATGTGTGTGTGCGTGTGCGTGTGCGTGTGTGTGTGTGTGTGTGTATTTTTTTCTGAAACAGGGTTTCTCTGGATAACAGCCCTTGCTCTCCTGGAACTCCCTCTATAGACCAGGCTGGCCTCACACTCACAGAGATCCGCCTGCCTCTGCCTCCCAAGTGCTGGGATTAAAGGCATGCACCATCACCACAGAGCAGTATATATATAATAACTTCTATTTAACTATCTAAAAAGTAACAACCACACACACATATACAGCATACCCATATGGGCAAGCTCGCAGAGAGAGAACAGACTGCAGAATCAAGACTTTAACTGCCATCTGCAACGTGGGACTTTCCACAGCAGATGGGAACTATCTGCCTCGACTGCTGTCACAGTTGCACACCTATATGATCTAAGGAAATCACTGAATTATACTCTAACAATGGGTGACCATCATGACACACAAATCACACCTCAACACAGCCGTGTTCTAAACGTGAATACACAACTAAAATTGAATTAATAGTCTCAGTGAGCTATGCCACCGAGATATGGATTTTGTTTATTCATATGTTAATTCATTTGATGTCGCTGAGCACATACTATTCTGTTAGGCATTGCACAGAACTTCAATCAAGAATCCTGAAGAATCGGTTGAGATTAAAAGATTGGCTTAATAAAAAAGACTACAAATAAAAAGCATTAATTAAGATAATTGGTAGCAATACAGCACTAAAGAATCTTAATACAAAATGGTATCCATTGTATGGAAGACACACTTAAGATGTTATCCCAGAGTTCAATTTCAAGGGAGCTTATGGGAAGAAAAGCAATGGCAAGAAGACCAAGAAACAGAAACCAGTAAGATCCAACCCTAGAACAGTCACACTCCGGTTTTCTTGTTTGTTTTTTGTTTGTTTGTTTCCTGAGACAGGGTTTCCCTGTGTAGTTTTGGAGCCTCTCCTGGAACTCACTCTGTAGCCCAGGCTGGACTCGAACTCACAGAGATCCGCCTGGCTCTGCCTCCCGAGTGCAGGGATTAAAGGCGTGCCCCACCACTTCCCAGAGAAGTCACACTCTGGTTGGTGAAATTAGAACTGTATTATAAGGAGGAGAGGGACCAAATGACAACAGGCCCAAGGAAGACATAGCATGACACTTTTAAGCGTGCAGGAAATAATTCAGGAGGACATCAGATAAAAAGAATATAAGAGGGGGCTGGAGAGATGGCTCAGTATTTAAGAGCACTGGTTGCTCTTCCAGAGGACCCCTGCCGATTCCCAGCACCCACATAGCAGCTCACAACTGTCTATAACTCAACAGACACACAGGTCAAACATCAACACACATTAAAACTAAACAAAACAACAAAACAAAACCCAGAAAAACCCAAGAACCAAAGGGCCAAATAACCAGTTGACACCAGATGTCTCGACTCAATGCTTGTCCGTGTGTGTGTGTGTGTGTGTGTGTGTGTGTGTGTGTGTGTGTGTTGTGAGAGTGTGCCTGTAGGTAGAGGTGAGAGGTCAACTTTGGGTGTCATCCTCAGAAACACTACCCACCTCTTGAGACAGGGATTTCCACTGGCCTGGGATTCACCATTGATGTTATACTGGCAGGCTAGTGAGCCCTGAGGCTCCACCTGTCTCTACCTTTCCAGCACTGGGATTACAGGCATGCACCACCACACTCAGAGTTTTTCACATGGGTTCTGGGGGTCTAATTCACATCCTCGTGCTTGCTAGGCTAGTGCATTACTAAAGCCACCCCTCAAACCAGTCTTTCCTTCAAAGTGGCACTTGGGCTAAGACTTGAAGAATGCGTAGGAGTGAGGAGTGTGAGGTGAAGGGCATGCCAAGCCCCAGGGCCATGTTGAGAAGGCATTGGAAAGCTGTCAGGAGGAAAAGGCCAGTGTAGTTACAAGACGGGGAACAAGAGGGCAAATGAAGAAGAGAGGAAACCAGGCAGGGGCTGGACTACAAACCTCACAGTGTAAGGAAGGGGTGTGAAATTGTACAACAGAATTCAATGTGACCGATTCTAAGCAAGGAGTCACTCGATCAAACTTAGTGTAATAAAACCTCATTCTAGCCAAAACAACCTCGACAAAGAATAAAGCTGAAGGACTCACACTTTGAAGTTTCAGAACGACAAAGCTATTAGAATGACACCAACCTAAAATGACTAACAGAAAGACGAGCTGTCCAGAGCAATGAGTTTATTTGGAAATAGCAAGAGGCTGTGATCCAGGATTCATGTGCCATGACAAGGAGTTCAAGGGGAACCTTTTAAAGATGGAGGGCTGAGGAGATATTTCAATGAGCAAAATGCTTGCCTTGAAAGCACTAGCACCACTTTTCTACCCTCAGAATCCATGTTAAGATAGGTGTGTGTGTAAACAGGTAAAAGCATCTATTGTGCAAGCCTGAAAACCTGAGTTCAATTCCTAAAACTCACAGTAGAAGCAGAGAACTGAATTCCAATATTTTTTTACCTCCATATACACTTGTTTATATTTGCACATGTGCACACATGAGCACGTGCACACATAAATTTAAAAAGCAAGGCACATGCACAGAGCATGTGTGTGCAATCTCAGCAAAGGGAGGTGGAGGCAGGCAGGACTCTGGCCACCTGTCTAACTGCTTGGCTAAGAAAAAGTGGATGGCACCAGAAGAACAACACTGGAATTAGTCACTTGGCCTCTCAACACATGTGCGCCCACATGTGCACTGGACAGACAAAAACTGGGGGAGTGTTTGCGTGAATGCACGAATCCCTGGGATTCATCTCCAGTACCACATAAACCCAGCATGGTGGCACATGCCTGAGATCTCTCCACTTAGGAGGTGGAGGTAGGAAAACCAGCCTTGCCTACATGAAAGCATTTCAAACAAACAAAAAGGTCACAGAACTGTGTAGAAAAAAGGTCAGTTTTACTATATGTAAGTTTTAGTTGTTGTTGTCGTTGTCGTTCTTCTTCTTCTTCTTCTTCTTCTTCTTCTTCTTCTTCTTCTTCTTCTTCTTCTTCTTCTTCTTCTTCTTCTTCTTCTTCTTCCCTTTTAGTTTTTCAAGACAGGGTTTCTTTTAATGAAATCCTGGGATTTAAGTCATGCATCACTACATCACCACTGCCTGGCTTGGTTCTTTTTTAAAGATTATATTTATTATTAATTTTGTGTATG